CTTTTGTGAATGAAGAAGAGTGACTTAGCTTTAATTTCCTCGCAAAGACACATCAATGTTCTTTTCCCCTCTAGAAGCAACGCTATTGAATCCCTAACTCAGCCTTCCGTGGCTCTCAACGGGAGTCACGAGACGGGAAAAATTAATTACTTGTTATTGAACCATGAGCGTCGAGCACCTGATGAAGTACATGTAAGTACGAGATGAACACGAAAGATAATTAAGATCAGATACTTTAACAATGTCAAGGTAGTGATTTTCTTTGTCTAAACTTGATGAAATAGTAATGAGTTTGAGAAGTTTCGTGTCAAGCATACGCCGAAATATTGATATGTCAATCAAGTACAGCTTTTCCCACGCGGAAAAGTAATGTTTCGTCCAATCAAAACAAAATATATAGCGTTTGTTTCACCTTCGAAACAAATTATTTAAGCCAAACATTTTCCAGTTTTATTGTTTGTACGGAGTTCTTTGAGATACTTCGAGAATTTTGTTGGTTTTTGTTTTTTGAGATGTGAACGAAAACTGAGTCAGGATTAAGTTTAAGTTTTAAAAGCTGTTTTACAATGTGCGAGGGAAGCAAGATGAACACGGTAAGAAGGGCCGTTCGTTGATTTATGAGAGTCGTAGAGGAGTATTCTCGTAATGCGTAATTAGCTGATTTTATTTTCCATGAAACGTGAATTTAGGAAATTGTTCTCCGTGATCCGTGACTTGAACGTGAGCCGTGACCCGCGAAGAACTTTAATTATTAACCGATTTTCGTGATTTCACCACTCTATTCTACGTTATTTTGAGACGCGAGTCCTTCGAATGGTTGGAGTCGTCTATCAAGAGTGACTTGGGTATGCGATTGGCAATATGGAGCCTTGACTTAGCCTCTCACGATTTTGCTTTCTTCACTCTTTCTAGTGTAAGAACAGATTATTAAGAAGAGTATCTTACTTGCCTATTTTCATGATTCGGGATAATGAAATTTTTATTTCCCTGATCCGTGATCCT